TGGACGAGAATCGTTCGTTGCGCAGGGAAAGAAACGAAGTTTAATTATCACACACATAAATCTAAATAGACGACCTTTGGCGATGAGGAACGGCTCGCTGGGGTGAGGAAAATGTGTGTTAAGGTCACATTTGTATGGAACGAGAACACCTGGTATTTTGCAATTCGTAACCGCGTTTCATTTTTCATTACCGTACTCATTATGATGCACAGCATGGAACGGCATATAATAATGGATATGCGTGCATCTATTTTTATTATTTACGCGAGCTTTCAATTCGAAATTAATTCGAAATTTTATCTCATCGCGCGCGATGTCTCACGTAATCAAATCAATATCGCCGTATGAGGCATCATCCCACGCGTAATCATTTCGATTTGAAAACCAATGAAATATGGATTGTCCCAAAGTCCAGAGCTATTTATTCGATTACGCTCGAGTTTGCGGCGGAGACGCAGGGTTTCCGTTGTCGAAAAGCCGATTGTCGTTTCCGTCGTGCTCGACTAAACGAAAACTGCTCATCCGAGAAATTCAAGGAGGTTCGCATTATTCCGCGTGATCCCGGAGCTTTGAAGAAAGCATTGTAAAAATATGACAACCTCTATTCAACGACCCGGACGAACGGGTCGCGTAACGCCTGTTGCGCCACAGCAAATAATACTCGGCATCTACAAAGAGAAATTTCTTACGTTTCTATTTTCGTGTTATTCGCGCATTCGAGAGTATCCGAGTGGGTGAGTCCGACAATTCTCCGCACAATTGACCGACTCGCGGCAGAACGACCAATTGGCAGCTATTTCAGTCTCGATGCGAATCGTTGACTTGCTTCAACCAGCTTACGCAGCTGTCGTCGAAAAAAAGCTGTAGTCGAAATGTCAAGAGGAAATCCAGTACTATAAAATAACATAAAGTAATGCCTTTATTTTTGTTAATTTATTGATCTTTGGAAATTTCAAAATCATCAAATTAACAAAAGTAAAGGCACTATTATAGCAATATATTCTTGAGATTAAATAGAGTAAAAAGGCCTAGTATCATTTTTTCTTTCGACAAATTATTAGCAAGATATCGTAAGTTAAATATTAAAAAAGTTACCAAGTTTTCCTTCATTATCTCAGAAAATATTAGGCAAATAAAAAAATATTTCAGATAAAAATTACTCAAATTAATTACTCAATTAATAGAAAAAGATGATATAATAAAAAATTGGGCTTTCTATTTAAAAAAATTAAGTTGACCTTCAACTGACCTTGAAAATGCCCTTCAAGGTCAAGGTCAAGGTCACCATCAGTTGACCCCCTACGAACCTTGTAACTTTTTTTTGACATTTTCCGATATTTCCATAATCTTCGAAGTTATCAATGTGGATACATTAAAACGGTCCACCTTGTATAATACTAATTTCGGATGCAAAATAGATAATATTAAATTAACAAATAACTGATATGACTGCTTTCTCTCTGTCTCTCTTGCTCTTTTTCTCTCTTAGGCCTGCTCTCAGGTGGATGACGCCAGCAGAAAAAGTCACTTCAGAAATTACTGAAAAATCATGACAAGCTTTGATGCGAAATTAAATGGATCGAGGAATGTCGCGTGTGATTCAATTATTCCGATTCAATCGAGGTGTAAGATAAGAGGTGTAATATTATTTTGCATACGTTTTTACGTAGTCGAAACGTTGGAATTTGTTGTATATTTTACTGCAAATTATTAAACGTCTTTCCTCTCAAACGATTCATTAACGATCGCGATTGCAGTACAATACAGCGATGTGAAGTAAAGTGGACTAAAGTGCGATCGACATGGGATAACGACTGGACGCTCCAGAAGCTGCACTATTGAAAATCTGGACCTGGACGCTGCTGAACGTCACTGTTGTAACGGTGAGTTATTCAATAGAACAATTTGCACACTTACAAAACTTCGCATCGCGTATCGTATACACAGCATTGGGAAGTAACACGTTATCATTACTTTTTTGAGTAACGATTAGGTAACGCCGTTACTTTTTGTGTCAGTAACGAAAGAGAAAGTAACGGCGATACATTTTTTTTGTAACGAATAACGAAACGTCCGTTACTTTAATCGTTATTTTTTAATTTCTATAAAATTAAAGTTAATTGTATTTAATTTCTATGCATTTTTTGTTTTATACTAGATTTAGTGAGAACCAATAAAGATGGACTCATATATTTGCGTCATCCATTGGCCGTAGCTATACAGAAAGGTTTAAAAGAAAGGTAAGTTGGTGTAATTTGATTAACACATATGTTTATTAAACAACATTCATCTGATCAAAAAGAAAAATCAATATGTTTATATTTAATTTTATTGATTTAACTTTAGGTTTTGTACTACGTTCGAAAAAGAAGAGTTAATAATTGCCAGCCGTTTGCATCCCAAATTCAAATTGAGCTAGCCGGAGATAAGCGAAAATTTGCGCAAAGATATTTAGAACATTTATTAAGAGGAATTTCTTCAGCTGAAAATTCTTTGATGTCTGATAAGCACGATGATAACGATGACTTTTTTAATTTCAAACAGTAAACATCAAATGAGGAATCTGCCTATGATGAATGGCAAAGATTTTTAAAGTTAACAGGCACTAATGTTCAAATATTAAATTCATATTCACTAATTAAGAAACTTTTCATTAAGTACAGCACTTAATAACATAAAATAATAAAAATATTTAAATATATATATATATATATTTGTAATCATCTTATATCCGATTTATATATTGTCTTAGTACCTTTCTTATAATCCTGGATTTACAATAAGATAAAGTAACGAAAAGTGACGAAATAAAATATCGTTACTTTCAAGTAACGGTAACGCGCTATTTTTTAAGACCAGTAACGAGTAACGGTAACGAGTTACTTTTTACCGAAAGTAACGGGAACGGTAACGAGTTACTTTTTACCGAAAGTAACGGTAACGGTAACGAGTTACTTTTTACCGAAAGTAATGGTAACGGTAACAAGTTACTTTCCCGACTCTGCGTATACATACGGAAATCAGTGCGAAGTTATTCAATAAGTATCGACGAGACCAAATGGCGAAATCAGTGGCTTCGTGGAATCTTTGCAAAATGTCCCTGTTGCAACTTGAAACATTAATCTGAATTTTTCGAGCAGACTCGAAAACGGCGATCCGCTGCCTTTGTAATCGAATTAACTTTTCCCCGTGTGAATGTGGGGATGTCGGAATATGTCGGAGAAATCTACCGCAAACGAGCTGTTGTATACCGGCTGAAAATTAAATCCGACGATAAAGCGCAGCGTCCTTGTGACCTTTTTTAATCAGGTATTTTACAGCGCTCTTATCCCCTCCCTTCTCCCTCTCTCACCCCGCGTATCCTCACCCTCGCAATTGTGCGCTCCCATAATGCGCCATTTTATTCGTACCCGGTTGATTGCTCACCGGCTAGAACATTGCTGCGAAGTACACCGGAGGGATTTTCTTACCTCTCTCTCACTCTCTCCTGCTTTCGACACGACGAGACCAATCGATCTCTTGGCCTTTTAAATTATTTTACGCGCTGAGAACGTTACTTGTTGCGCGAGGCCAGCGTTATGCGCGTACGCAATCTACACGAGGGAATCCACGAGACGAAATTTCATTCGTGCAAAAAGATGTCTACCTGCAGAGTCAAAAAAAAAAGAAAAAAGTGAGCGACGAGATCTTATCGGTTGATTTTCTCGTAATGATTTAAACGCAAATTACATTGATTTCCGACGAGACAGGTAGAGAGGAACGCAGAAGAGAAGAGTGAGAAACTGTCTTGAAGTAAAAAGTATCAAACCAACTGTCTTTTTCTGCTCTTTTTCTCTCTTCGGATGTGTATTTTAAGCGAATTTCAATGTTTTTTGATAAATATCGATGTTATCACGCAGGAGCTGTATGCTTTGACTATTTAATAGCGCACGAATGTACGCGCGTTTGTAATATGTAGTAGAATGAAAAGTGAGTATATATAAAGGGTGTCCCATTTTAAGAAACGCACCTCGATAATCCTTCAACGAAGCGTTTTCAGCAAAAATGTTTCGAACAAAAGTTGTATGATTTCAAGGAGGACATAAAACAACTATACTGTCAGGGCGCTATTGTAACAATATATTCATGAGCCCAAGTAGAGCAAAAAAGTCTAGTACCACTTTTTCTTCCGACGAATAGTTAGCGAGATATCGTGAGTTAAGTATTGAAAAAGTTATCAAGTTTTCCTTAAATATCTAAAAAAATATTAGGCAAATAAAAAAATGTTTCGGACAAAAGTTGTTTAAATTAATCGGTAGAAAAAGACGGTGTAATAAAAAATTGAGGTTTTCATTTAAGAAAAATAATGATCAGTAAATATCTTGAAAGTGATGCATATATAAACAAAATAGTATACGTATAGTTGTTTTAAGTCCCTCTTGAAATCATACAGCTTTTGTTCGAAACATTTTTGCTGAAAATGCTTCGTTGAAGAATTATCGAGATGCGTTTCTTAAAATGGAATACCCTGTATATACATATAATAACAAAATGACGAGAAATGTTACGGTTCCCTCGCGACAGATTTTTGCAAATCGAGCTCCGTTGTTTTTATGCAAACCATAAAATTACAAACGTATCCTCGTCGCTTCACCCGGAATATGGGCGTACAAGTCGCGAGGGAACGCTGCCGAAAGTGCGAAAGTATGTCCATGCGAAGTTCATCGCGATAATGTATCTTACATTGCGGCCAATCCTTCCGTCGGCGAGGAGCCCCGCCTTGCGACAAGGAAAATATCCGGCGTCCGGAAGAAAAACCGACAGAAAGTCGACGACCTTATCTTCAGTTTCCGCGAACTCGCTCTCAAAGTTTCAAAGCCGGAGCGAGATTCTCGCGCGATGCTCTCGATTGCGCGAGATCTCCACGACGTGCGTTCTTTGTCTCTCAGAATCGAGTGACTTCGCTGCGCACCGGGATCGCAGTGGTGGGTCAGTCAGAGGAATGTAAGGATCATAGAATATACAATGCGCACACAATGTAATTATTCCCTCGTTCTTACACATTTCACGCTTCGCGGCGTGCAGGCATGCCGAGTACAAGCGTTTCGAGTTCGATTAAAGCAGAAGCTCGCGCGTGCCGTCGTCCGTCAGTTCTCGCCGGGCATTTTCCTGGGACGCGATCGATATACAGAAAAGGCCGCTGGATCCGGCGAATCCTCGTCCTCCTCCTCGATCGGTAGCCCGGACACGTCCGAGGTGGCCGCGCGTACATTAATTTCTTCTATCTGTCGCCGGCACACACGCGACGGCGATCGACATCGGCTTCAGCCTCCACTTGTGACGGAGAGCCTCCGGAAGTGGGGCTTCCGGCAGCCCGTTTTCCTCCGAGTAGTGCTCGTCGTTTAATCCGCCCAAATCGCGTTGGCTCAACACGTGAACCTGCGGAGGAGACGGGAGAGCGCCGCGGGATTAATCCATTCGCAGCTCGTCGAGCGTTCACGATTTACTCCGCTTTTCCGTTTCCTTCTTTTGTGCGATACCGACCGCCAATCCGTGAATGCTCACGCATGACAATCCGGGCGTTATAACATCGACAATGCTATCCGATATCTACAGGGTGAGGAAAAAAGATGGAAATCCTTAAAAATCTCGAGAGATATAAGTTTTACAGAAAAGTGTTTCAGACAAAAGTTATAAGGCTCAAAACGATGTATTTACTGATGTTATCAGTTTGACCTTGAGTGGCGTTGCCAAGATCAAGTCAAAGTCAACTTATTTTTCTTAAACAGAAACCCCCATTTTTTATTATATCATCTTTTTCTATCAATTAATTTGAACAACTTTTCTGAAACATTTTCTTTACACATTTACCTAATACGTTTTGAGATATTGAAGGAAAACTTGATGACTTTTTTAATATTTAACTTATGATATCTCTCTAACTTTCGTCAGAAGAAAAAATGATACTAGACTTTTTTACTCTGTTTGGATTCAAGAACATATTGTTACAATAGTTAATTAACTTTTGTTAACTTATTGACTTTTGGAAATTTCAAAATCATCAAATTAACAAAAGTCAGAGTGCCATTGTAACAATATATTCTTTCTTCCAACAAATAGCTGGCGAGATATTATAAGTTAAATATTGAAAAAATTTCCGAGTTTTCCTTAAATATCTCAAAAAATATTAGACAAATAAAAAAATGTTTCGAACAAAAGTTATCAAAATTAATTGGTAGAAAAAGATGATATAATAAAAAATTGGGGTTTCCGTTTAAAAAAAATAAGTTGACCTTGACCTGACCTTAGCAACGTCACTCAGATCAAACTGATAAAATAAGTAAATACATCGTTTTGAGCCTTATAACTTTTGTCTGAAACACTTTTCTGTAAAACTTATATCTTTCAAGATTTTTAAGGGTTTCCATCTTTTCTCCTCACCCTGTGTGTATTTCTAGAGTCGCGTCACGACGTATCCTCGGAAATTCCGTCGCGCTCTTTTCGCGGGCGTTTGCGAATTAACGAGCGATATTGCATCGAGTTTTATCGCTAATTAATGATACGAGAGGCCGATTATATAGATACTTATTCATCGGCGCATTCGGCGAGCGAGCTTCCGTAATTCGCTATATCGTCGCTCCGTATTAATTCCCGGATGACTAGTCGGCCGCACAATCGCGTAATTTAATACGATTAATTAGGGAGAAAAGCGGATTGGGAAAGCAGCCAGTGGATGCATTCTTATTATGGACGAATATGTTAACAACTCGTGCCCTCTCACGGACTCATTAATCTTCGATATTAATAGTGCTGAACAGTATTAATCTCGCGCGGATAATGCAATTGCAAGACGCACACATGCGACGTCGCTTGTTGTAGTAAGTGACGACGCTCTATACGCTCTGCCTTTTACACGTTATTGCGTTCTCGCGTTTAGCGTTCACCCCGATTTTTCTTTCTGCCCTCCCCCACCGTGGCAGTCGCCCCCCCCCCCATGTTTAGCGGTTACAAACAGACGGCTGAAAAATAAATCATGTGATGTAATTTTTACATTCTTTGCCACTCAGTGCGTTTCCGAGTTTCCGAGATATTCTGCGAGTTCTCTCCTTTTTTTTTAAGAAAACTTGCGCGGAATATTTCCCGCTGTTCTCCTTTATGCGTCTCCAGCGTGTGTGCACGCAGCATTGCGGGGCGAGGAAAAATAGAGCTCGGAGTGATTTAACGTGTACTTACGGGTAGAACGCGTGTGTAGTTAATGTATTAGATTATTAATAATTATAATAATTAAATATAAAATGTCCAATTTCCTTAAGTACTAAATTTGACACTCGAACACTCTGACATTTCATCTTTACAGTTCTTGGTTTTTTTGTTGTTGTGAAGATACATCGTCATTCTTTCAAACGCATGTTTTGCTTTGTAATTATTTTCCGAATTGTCTTTGTTACAACAATTTTTCTATAATCATGAATAAGTTGAAAATTCGTGTTATTTTCGAATATAAGTTCCGTCGTGGAACCAATGCAGCGCAGACAACTCGAAATATCAACAAAGTGTTTGGTGAAGATGTGGCTAATGAACGCACAGTACGTCGATGGTTTGAGAAGTTTCGTTCTGGCGATTTTAATCTTGAAAATGAGCCACGTGGGCGACCCGAGACCAAGGTGGATAATGATGAGTTGAAAACTGTAGTGGAAGCGGATACATCTCAAACTACGCGTGAATTAGCAGCAAGGTTTAACGTTACTATTCCAACGATATTGGATCACTTGAAACAAATCGGCAAGGTAAAGAAGCTGAATAGATGGGTTCCGCATGAATTAAACGAGAGTCAGAAGAGAAATCGTCTGGAAGCTTGCCTTTCTTTACTATCACGACATAAAAGCGAACCATGTTTACATCGTATTGTTACGTGTGATGAACAACACGATCTTTTCGACAATTGCAAGTGTTCGGCATAATGGTTGGATATAGATGAAGTACCGAAACACAGTCCGAAACCGAATGTTCACAAAAGAAAGCTAATGGTGTCTATTTGTTGGTCCAGCACTGATATTATCCACTACAGCTTCATGAAACCTGGTCAATCGATTACAGCGGATGTCTGCTGTAACCAACTGGATGAAATGATGAAGATGCTTGCGATTAAGCAGCCGAGATTGATCAATAGAGACAGACTAATTCTCTTGCAAGATAACGCTCGACCACATGTCACACAAAAAACGTTGCTCAAACTACAGTAGCTGGACCTGGAAACTTTGTCACCCACCATATTCACCAGACCTTGCATCAACTGACTACCACTTCTTCCAGGCACTGGACCATTTGTTGCAAGGAAAAATATTCAATTCTCAAGAAGCTGTGGGAAACGTCTTCCGCGATTTCATCGTCACCTGCTCTTCAGGCTTCTCCGCTGCTGGCATAGATAAGCCACCGTTAAGATGACAGAACTGTGCCGATAGTTTAGGCGCATACTTGGATTAATTGTGCTCTATTTCTAGTTTGAGATATAATAAACCAAACTTTTGATTCGAAATTGGACATTTCATACTTAATGACCTAATATAATCGAAGCTCGGCGAGAATCATTCTCCGCGAAAATGTCCACGACGTTCTGCGCGAATAATCGCGCGATAATCAACGCTACGTCACGGGGCTGCATGGAATCATCGTAATGACGCCGCGAGCGAGAATCGCGAGAAGCGGTTCGAGTCGCGCTCGCGGCATTTGTCCACAGCATTCGCTGTGCGAATCGAGTGAGTAGGACGGCGGGTGTGACTGCGCTCGCACAATCAAACCCTGCACTTCCACGTTGCGCTCACAGGGCGCAACTGAACGAGCATCCGGCGCAGTTACGCAACCGCGCGCATTGCTGAAGGGTGTTTGAGTGTACGAACGATCGTCGACTTATCGCGACGACTCGATGTTTGTTCCCGTGGCGAGAAGTTCTTGATATTCAATAAACAGAGAGAAAGGGCGAAGGAGAGAGAGAGAGAGAGAGAGAGGGGGGGTGAGAGTGTGCGTGTTCGCTCGCAAGTCGACGTTAATCAAAGTTGTGTGTACTCGCACAATACTCGACAACCACTTAACCGTATTACTGCAGTCTACTACTTCACGGAATATCGATTGTCAGCATGCAGCGATCTTACCATGTAGTGCAGCAGTCGACAGGAATTGAACTTGCTCTGGCAGGCTTTCGGCTTGCAGCGCGATGCAGTTAAGTATCTCGGATAGTGTCCCTCGCCCAGATCCCTCATCTCATATTGCGTCTCGCAGGTGCACAGAGACTGCAAACAGAGTCTTGTTGTTGTCGCCGCCGCACAGTAGAAAAAATAAGACAATTTTTGGATAGAAATCCACCGACAACATAGGGTGTTCCATTCTAAATCCCCCCCTCCCCCTCCCCAGGTAAATATTCCGAGAAATATGGAAGATACGGAAAAATATTTCAGACAAAAGTTGCATAGTTTTAAGGGGGATTTAAAACAACTGTATCAGTTTGTTTACAGATAACGTCACTTTCGAGATATTCACTGATCGTTACTTTTCTTAAATGTAAATCCTAATTTTTTATTATATCATCTTTTTCTATCAATTAATTTAAGTAATTTTTATCTGAAATATTTTTTTATTTGCCTAATGTTTTCTGAGATAATTAAGGAAAACTTGGTAACTTTTTCAATATTTAACTTACGATATCTCGCTAACTTATTGTCGAAAGAGAAAATGGTACTAGACTTTTTTACTCTATTTAGTCTCAAGAATATATTGTTACAATAACATCCTGATTTTTGTTAATTTAATGATTTTGAAATTTCCAAAAGTCGATAAGTTAACAAAAGTTAGGACATTATTATAACAATATATTCTTGAGATCAAATAGAGTAAAAAAGTCTAGTACTATTTTTTCTTCTGACAAATAGTTAGCGAGATATCGTAAGTTAAATATTGAAAAAGTTACCAAGTTTTCCTTAAATATCTTAAAAATATTAATTAAATAAAAAAATGTTTCAGACAAAAATTACTCAAATTAATTGGTAGAAAAAGATGATGTAATAAGAAATTGGAGTTTCCGTTTAAGGAAAGTAATGATCAGTGAATAATTCGAAAATGGCGCCATCTGTAAACAAATTGATATAGTTGTTTTATGTCCTCCTTGAAAACATACAACTTTTGTCTAAAATACTTTTCCGTATCTTCCATATTTTTCGAGATATTTACCTGGAGGATTTAAAATGGGACACCCTATATAATGCACCAATACTTATGTAAACATAATGTGTTATGATATCAGTAGACTTGAAAGTCACATTGCGGTAGAAAGTAATACTTGACTTTAACGTTATAGTCACTAATTTTGAATTCTTTTGAATATTAACCATTCTTTATTTTTTGTTCAAACATAAATTATAATTAATCAACTTATAATTGGTTATTATAAATATATTCGTGTAAAAACTATTTTACATGACATACTTTTTTAACAATGAAGATTTTTCAAGTTAAGTTTTCATACTTATGTGAAATTATTTGGAACAATGCGTCGGCTTCAGATGGAAGGAAATAAAGCTGACTTGATTTTAGAAACAATTAAAAAAGAACCTTCTTTTTCTGAATATAAAGAGAAAATGATTAGAGATAAGATAGTAAATATTTTTGTCACGCAGTTTAATAAAAAATGGTAAGAAGTTCGTTGCAGAAAGGACGTTTTTATATCAAAGTATTATCGTGTTGAAAGTTTGTCGGTTCTTAATGTGTCGAATTTATATAAATTTTTTTGAGGTTAAGTCGAGTCTTGACTCATTTATAGCAGTACCTCGTTGTAGCAGGATCCTCTGCGAGTATTTAAAAAAATAATTTCATTAAAATTGATAGAGTTGTTTTTGTTGTCGGTGGATTTTTGTCTAAAAATTGTCTTATTTTTCCTACTGTGCGCCGCCTCGCGCACAGTGATTTTCGCGGGTGAATTCTGGACGAGTGAATTCGCGGAAATTGCGAGAGTAAGTCGAGCCGTGAACGAGACTTTACGGGAAGGTGGACGTTACTTTTTACGTTATTTCGCACGCCGCGTGTATACGGTGGATCGCGCGATTCGCGAGACATCGAGGCGGCGACAAAGGGAGTTCTCATTACGGAATCAATTAATTAGGTAATTAACTCAATGAGAGCCGCAACGAAGCCACGTTGCCTATTCACCGGGACTGGCTCGCGCAGTCGCACTTTGACGGAGAGCGGATGGATTTTTCGCATTTCGACGGTCGAGATTTCGCGGCACATATTTCGCGAATGCGACGTTTTTCGCGCGGTCGACAGTCGCCGCAGCGCTTGTGCAAAGCGATTTACGACGACCGTGAAATAAACGGATAATACGGCAAAGTAGATAGCATCGCGTATTGTTTATGGGACTCGTATCGCGTTTAATCGCAGTCGCCCACCGTTACCGCGAATATCAACGCAATTTCTTCACGGTCGATGCGTGAACGAAAAAATGCTCATTATGCCCGCTCGCGATTGTCATTCCGCGGAAATCGGGGCGTCCTTCACCGCTGAAATTCCCTCAGCGACCCGCAACTCGCAATCGCGAAAGCCCCGTCGCGTTTTCATCACTCGCACGTGTTTGATAAGCGCAAAACGCGTGACGAGAAGTCGCGGACGCGTTAATCGACGTTCGTGGCCGTTCTGACGTCTCGATTGCGCACGTTTAAAATCGCGTCGTTTTTCCGAACGAAGGAGAGAAATTTAAATTCTCGATCGTTTTCCTTCCGTCCATAGGCGAGAGACAGACAGAGAGAGAGAGAGAGAGAGAGAGAGAGAGAGAGAGAGGGAGAGAGAGAGAGTCTAATCTTGAAATATTAGAATTTACCGAGACGAGGCACGTCTAACGATGTCGTTCCTCGAGGAGAAGGAACTCGGAAAGGAAGAATAGGTGGCGCGGGGTGAGGTTTGGCTGAAAGAAAGCGCCGCGGAGAAATTATACAAACGTACTCTCGTTACGAGACGCGGCTGCAGCCCGACGTCCTCCGCGCCGGCGATGCGTTTCACCTGCTCGGCGAGTCCCTCGGGGCGGTAGTTGCGCTTCTCGCCATACGCGGAACCCCGGCTGCCCCCGGGGATCTCCTCGTGCTCGTCGCCAAGCAGGAAGTCCGGTGCGACAACCTGCTCCTTCCATCGACCGATCGACAGCACCTGGCCCGGCTCCTCCGCCGACAGACCGTGCACCATCACCTGATTCGCCGTGTTGAGACATTTCGCGATTAGAACAATCGGACGTCATTGCGCAACGACGCACAATGCTTCGAACGGCGAGAAACGCGAAAAATAATCAAATTTCCAACTTTGTTCTAAAGCTTCGAAATTTTTATGTTATGTTCTTTCACTGATAAGCTATCAACTGAACTACACGCCCTTTTCCGTGGGCTTATTTAAAACGTTTTATTGGACATAAAGTATTTAACATTTTATGGCTAAGTTAAGTGCTCAATTTTATTACTGAAATTCGAACTTTTTAAAATTTGATATCTTTTTTTATTATTGAAATGTAATAACGCGGTTTATAAATTTTTATAAGTGCACCTCAATGTATAAAATTACGTGTTTGAAACACATCAATTATTATTAAATGCATTACAACATTATACATAATAAGAGTACTTAAATCTTGAACAATTTTCGAATTAAATTTTCCGTACGAAATGAGGGAACGCTTAAGAATGAAAAAAGTTATTATAAATATTTAATATAATGTTCAAAGAAAATAGGTAACTTTAATTTGGCTGCAGTTACTTGCAACTTTTCGAGTAACAATAATTTTTCGATGCCGACGCGCGCTAATATCGTGTTGTTATATGCCTATTTCGGTACACAAAATCCTTATTCACGGACCCATGATGATTAAGCATTTTATTCTTCCCATAGGAGAACTCTCTGAAGAAGCTCAAGAAGCTAAAAACAAACATATTAGATATTATCGCGAACATCATACAAGAAAATGTTCTTATTTAAATACAAATGAAGATTTATTTCGTAGGTTAATACTTAGTTCGGACCCATATTTAAGTTCATGCAGCCATATAAAACAATATAAGAAATCTTCACTAAATTTTGAAGTTTTAAAATTAATTAATATATCTTCAAATGAAATAAAAGAATTAAAAGAAGAATCTGAGTCCTCATAAGAAACTGAGAGTTCAGAAGAAAATAATTAATAAAAAACATATTTTTTAATAAAATGATAAAAAAATAATGAAACGTTAAAAAGATAAGAATAATCTAGTTATTATGATAATAGTAATAGTAATATATCTTATATGTTATAGTTCAGTTAAATATGCGATATTATTTTTAAAAAGAATTATTATTTTTCAAGTTAATGCATTTAAATTCCCTACTTTTATAGTAATAAATGATAAAGTATTAATAGATTTACAATATTTATCAAATAAATATTTTTTTTCATAAATTTTGTGTTTCGAACCACTGTGCGACGCGGCGATGACATCGTAAAAGGAAAATCTTCCACGGAATATGTATTTCTCTTCGCTTTTTTCCTTCTTTTTATTAACCAGTTCACTGGTAATGGCCCATATATGTCCAAAAAAAAGCAGTGATTCTTCTGATAATGGCCCATCTGTGCATCTTGAATAATTCTGTCAATTTTCAATGGATTTGCACACAACTCGGTATGCCCAAGGTTTTTGGGTCGCTAACTACGAATCTGGAGTCAAATTTGAGAAATTCAAAATGGCGGATCCAATATGGCAGACCAATATTTTTGCTTCTAGTGACTAACGGTATTTCATTGTATATACTTTTACCTCCGTATTAGTTGGTGAAATATCACGACTATAGAATGCGCCACGTGAAGGCTACAGTAGGATTTTACATTCTATTTTTCTATTTTTTATTTTTGTTTATTTTAATTTTTTGTTTTATTTTTTATTTTTTACTTTTTTATTTTTTATAGCCGTACGGAACAGATATCATACCAGTCTCAAGTGCATAATCAAAATAAAATAAAGTTTGAATGTCCTGAACTAATCCGTTATCTGCGACCAAAAAATCATATTGAGTATAATACATTTTCATAATAGAATAACAAAGTTAGCCACTTAAAGCCATGTTGGATCCGCCATTTTAATTTTTTAAATTTCGACTCTGTATTTGTTATTTATAATCGATAAAACATACATATACCGAGTTTGATACATATCCATAATATCAAAGTTAGCCATTTGAAGTCGTCATATTGGATCCGTCATTTTGAATTTTAAAATTTCGATTCCGGATTCATAATCAACGACACAAAAACCTTTTCTAGATAAGCTTACACATAAAATACGACATTATTCGCTCTTACCAGTTTTGGCACAAAACGTTAATTTCGACTCGCCAGTGAACTGGTTAAAGACCCGCGGTAATATTAATGACTCGGCCCACAGTTTCTCGACATTCGTCGCAGGCTCTGCGTTCATGTAAGCTGCGACCGCGGCGATTGCAAAAGACGGCTGAGGAAAGAACGCGATCTATCTTCGTCTAATGTATCTTTCATACGGTGTCTTGCGCTAAAACCAAAGCGAAACCGCGACGCCGGCGGGACGTGACTGCGTTTGTTGCACGAGCACAAATAAAGTATAATAAATTACGAGCCACGTTGGCCGCAGAGGGAGAAAAGATCCCCTTCCTCTTTCTTTCTCTCGTATATCTCGGACGATGCTTACACAGAGTATAAGAAGCTTCATCCTTCCCGGGAAAAACGATCGTCTCGCACGTAACACCGCCGTACGACTGGTCACTCATCCCTGGTGTTCGCTCCTTATATACGAAATTATGGAAATAATAGCGGGCCCCACTGATAGGTAAGAAGATCCCATTACCGTTGTCGCGAAGATACCATTAACGCCACTCGATATCTATCGAGGGGTTGCGTGCATCTCAGCAGCCTTTGTTCGCCGTGTGTCACGCCTCTGGTCTCTCTCTCTCTCTCCCTCTCCCTCTCTTTCTCTTTCTCTCTCTCTTTCTTCTTCTGTCTTCCCTCCACCCTCCTTCTCCCGTTCTTTATTCATGTCCATTAAATAAGAGTACTTCTTCTGCAGCGAGACGAGCTTTCGCCCCTACGCGCGCGATGGGCGATGCATATAAGGGTGGCTCGTCGCTTCTGTCGGGAACATTCGCACCGCCGATGTCGACGACGCGGCTCCTGCGACTGCGACTGCGACTGCACATCGGCGACCATAAAGCTCCAATTTCGCGACACCTGTCCCGTGCGCCGGTTTACGGCTCCTAACGCGAAGCGAAATATATCCAGGGAGCTATGAATCGCCGAGAGATCGGACGCTGCCGGAGACGCAAATTTCACGTTCCTCCTCGGATCGCCGATGTCACGGAGAACTCGACCGTCGCAGATCCATGACGATCGTATTTTCCTTGTGCATTTTTCCCTTCTCTTCTCGGTGACTCGCAGGAAATCGGATATCCACGAACCTCCGTCGCCCTTTGTCATTCTCTCGCGAACGCACGGAGTTATCTCGTTAGAGGTTCGATTGATGAGGCCATGGGACATTGTGAAAAATTCATACTCAACGTCGAGCATTGTCGTCTATTATTAGCGAGCAAGCGTCAAAAGTCTGGACACGCCGTCGGCGCAGCTTGTCATGTCGCTGCGCCGATAACGGCGCGCTTTCCACGAGCTCATCGTAAGTTTTAACCACGTGGAAACGCGCCGAGTGCGGGCTCTCTCCCTCTCTCTCTCTCTCTCTCTCTCTCTTTTTCCCTCTGCAAAATCGCACCGGCACGCGTAACCACGTACAATACGAAAATATCGTTATCGCCCTGCGCACTGCAGAGGTGCGTAATGAAAACACATGGTCCTGCATCCCATTACGTTCGCATGGTCGCGTTGTTTCGCGGCAGAGCAGAGTCGAGTAAGATCGACGCGCGTGTTGTGTAAGCGACGGTACGAGGGTAGTCCCAGAAGTACCTGACCTGACGTATAGATAGCGGTTGTTGTTTGAAAAGAATGACTATGGTAGAAAGCACCAACCTTATAGAGCTTAAGTTTGAAGTTTGACGACGCTACGTTGTTTAGTATTTGTTTGGCAGCCATCAATAGTGAACGCTCTCAGTGAATTTGTAAACATGGAAAAAATTGGTCATCGTTATGTGATACAATACTTTCATTTGAAAGGCCTCAGTCCAACCAATATCAAAGCTCCGCTGACTGAACGTCGACTGAAAGTATGCGAGTTAGCAGACATGGTAGGCGTTTCAAAAAGTGCTGTACATCGCATATTGACTGAAAATTTGGACATGAGAAAGCTGTGCGCAAGATGGGTGCCGCGATTGGAACAAAAACAGTGTCGTGAGGATGTTTCATTCGAATGTTTGGCGAAGTTTCGCAGCAATAAAGCCGAGTTCTTGCGTCGATTCATAACCATGGATGAAACATGGGTCTATCACTTCACACCTGAGACGAAGGAACAGTCAAAACAATGGACCAAGGTGGCTTGATGACTTTTTTGAGGAGCTCGACGATTCCCACTATAAACAGGGTATCGAAGCTATTGAACATCGCTGGGAAAAGTATATTGAGCTAAAAGGAGACTATGTAGAGAAATAAAGATATTTTTTCCCAAATTTCTTGTGTTTTCTTTGTTAGATCAGGTACTTCTGGGACTACTCTCGTAAATCGCTCACATTGGCCGTTAACCTCTTCGTGCTGGCAAAAGGCCGCAGAGATTAAGTTGGATTTCGCGAGAGAAATTTACGGAAAGGGGGATCGTTAAAATAATATTTCGGCCAGCGACGGGCAAGATACATTTCAAATGTATCTTGATACAGATGTGTGCGGAAAATTGTATCTATTGATACAATAGATATAGATACAGCTATATAAATTAAAATGAACCTAGATACAGATACTTCAAAAGTATCTCAGATGTATATCAGATATTTTGCTTTTGAATTATATTTTATCGTAGTAATGATGATATATATAAAGTATACTGAACAAATCTTTTGTTATTTATTAATATTGTTTGTTTACATGAAAATTACACAAATTGGTCGATAGTCTTACATATCAAAAATGCCTCAAACATATCGTCACTTAATCTATTTCGCCGCGGTATTAAAATTTGACCTCCAATGCTAAATAACCTTAACAAACCCTCAACCGGTGCTGATGATGATATAATCGTGTTGAACTTTAAAAACGAATGCTTCATATGAGGATAACGTGCTATCGACGCGATATCTTTTTGCTTGTCTGACAAATAAGAAAGAACTTCCATACCGATGGCACTGTCAATTGTTTCCACGTTATCTTGGTCTTTTAAAAATTTAAAGAATTGTTCATCTTCCACGAAAGATGCTGAAGAGCTATCAGAAGTCATATTCTAGTTTCATTTTTTAAATACGCATATTTTTCCCTTCTGTAATAAGCAAGCTTTTACAATATTCGTGGTTCAGGGTCGTTTTTGAAAAAATCCCTGCTTCTGGAATCAAGTTTAGCCATTTCAACTTAAGTTTAGGAACAATTACAGATGAAATAATGTAAGGTTTACTACATATAACGTCAAAATTCAATACAATATTCCCGAATCTTTTGTTAATGTCATCTATTAGAGCATTTCTCAGGGGTTCGCAATTAAGTAATTCGTGAAGTGTCTGCAAATTAATTTTAAGTTGCGGCAAAGCTGGCAAATGTATTCTAAATGACAATAGTTTTCTCCCTGTAGCAAATCAAGAGTGCATGCTAAACTCTTCATTATTATGATAATTTTTTTCCATTATCGACTAAAAATACATGAAAATGTATTTGAAAAGTCGTTCAGATACTATGTTTTATATCTAAATACAGATACAGACACTCCAATTCGAATATATCTCAGATACGCGCTCGGATGCGCAGGGGTGTATCTAGATGCTGTATCTAGATACTACCCAACGCTGACTTCGGCTGCATGTGATGAAAGAGAGAGAGAGAGAGAAAGTAAGAGATGAGTTCTGCGGTGATAGAACGACTCAGGTTTTGAAGCTATCCATTCAATTACTCACTTTCGGAATGTTTTCGTTATTTCGAAAGCGTGTGTCTTGAACAAGTTGTAATCAGACGCAGCCAGGTCTGGAGAATGCGGTATGCGGAAGAACCTCCCATTCGAGCTCTGTCAGTGTTTCCTTGATGACTTTTGTAACATGTGATCGGGCATTGTCCTGTAACAGAATTACTTTTCTTTTGTGTGCGATTTGTAGTCGTCTTTGATCCAACGCTAGTTTCAAACTGTATTATTGTTGTCGATACTGGTCAGCCGTAACAGTTTCATTCGGTTTTAAGAGCTTATAACAGAATAAGTCCGGGATAAATAAGCATAATTTTTTTAATTGCAAATAACATATCTGTATTAATATAACAAATGATCAACAACATATTAACATGTTGAGTAGAGGATAATGTTTAAGGTTTTTGAAGAAGAGATTTTGTGAAAAAAAATTTATGGGACGCCAATAATAACGAAATATTAAAAATATTCTGTGAGGGATAGATGGTCAAGTGTCCAAGTTGAATGGTCATATATCAGAGATAAGTTGGACATACGTCATCTCGGTAATGAATTTTTAGAGCAAATACAATGTTTTTTAGTCGTTTAAGCCCAGGTCTAATGTTGTAACTTAAAATAAACCGTATTCGCAAGGTATTTTTCCGACGTGTGAAAAATTTTGGAGGTAATAGAAACATAAAACATTTATTTACTCATAATAATAGTGTTTTTGTGTATCAGGAAGAAACACCTATTCGTGGTACATCCAACTCTGATTGACTGATCGATGTTGACAAGTTTGATATTTAATGGTTATTAGGTACCAGGGAAAAATGACAGTCGAATAGGTATATATATATCTAGAAAATGTCGATCCGATGTCCATTGCTTGCTATTTCTCGCTAAGTAGGCTGTCCATCTAACCCTGAAAAAATGGACCATCTATCTCCATTTGGAGAGTTTGCATAGAAATGCGTATACCGCGTGACACGTAGTTTCGGTGACGAATTTCGAGATTAAATATAAAAATACGATGTTTTTTTAGTCGTTTAAGCCCAGATCTAATGTTGTAACTCAAAATGAACCGTATTCGCAAGGTATTTTTCTGACGTGTGAAACATTTTGTAAGTTACTAGAAACATGAAACATTTATTTACTCACAATAGCAGTGTTTCTGTGCATCAGGATGAAACACACTTACTCATGATACGTCCAATTCACAACTGACCGATCAGCGCTGACGCCTGGCATATATTAATAAAATTATAACAATTATAAAATTATAAAATTATAACAATTGACCATCTATTCCCTATGCCCATCTATCCCGGATTTACCCTGCACATTTTCTTGATCCCATCAAATACAGAGCAATATTTTATGACCATGAATATTGCGTTTTGGAGCCGATATGAATGGCTTGGGTCTACCCATGATTTTTGCGTTTAGAATTGTCATAATAGATCCTTTCTTTTTTATCACCAGTGACAATCCGGTACAAAAATCTCTTTTTTCTGTCTGGCAACCAGAGTAGTGACGATGGATATACGGTTCAGCATGTTCGCTTCAGTTAGTTCATGTGGCACCCATTTTCCTTCTTTTTGAATTTTTCTTATTTCATGTAAATGATCAAAAACTGTCAAAATTGCAATATCTAGTTCCTCAGCAAATTTCTTGTATGAGATTGATTTTGCTCCAATAATGCTTGCAGTTCGGCGTCTTCAAACTTTTATCGTTAACCTGGACATCCTCCGTCTTTCAC